CCCTCTCCTCTGTCATCATCCTGTTGGACCTGTCTGCTGCATTCGACACGGTGAATCATCAGATCCTCCTTCGCACTCTCCAAAAACATGGAGTTTCAGGCTCTGCTCTTTCCCTCCTCACCTCATACCTGAAAGACCGTATCTACAGGGTGACTTGGAGAGGGTCTGAGTCCGACCCTTGTCAATTAACTACAGGGGTCCCTCAGGGCTCTGTTCTTGGTCCCCTCCTCTTCTCCCTGTATACAAACTCGCTCGGATCAGTCATTAGCCCGCATGGTTTTTCTTACCACTGCTACGCTGACGACACCCAATTAATTCTGTCCTTTCCCCGCTCAGAGACCCAGGTCGTCGCACGCATCTCTGCTGGTCTAGCTGACATCTCTCAGTGGATGTCTGCTCATCACCTCAAGCTCAACCTTGACAAGACTGAGCTGCTCTACCTCCCGGGAAAAGATTGTCCCACTCTTGACCTAACAATCAACATCGGCACCTCAGTTGTTTCCCCGACTCAGACTGCAAGGAATCTGGGTGTGACCCTAGATAACAACCTGTCCTTCACTGCAAACATCGCTGCTACAACCCGTTGCTGCAGATACACGCTTTACAACATCAGGAAGATACGTCCCCAGCTGACACAGAAAGCGACTCAGGTTCTGGTCCAGGCTCTCGTCATCTCACGCCTAGACTACTGCAACTCCCTCCTGGCTGGTCTACCTGCATGTGCCATCCGACCTCTGCAGCTCATCCAGAATGCAGCGGCTCGTCTGGTCTTCAACCTTCCTAAATGTTCCCACACCACTCCGCTCCTCCGCTCCCTTCACTGGCTTCCGGTAACTGCTAGAATCCACTTCAAGACACTGGTACTTGCTTACCATGCTGCGAATGGATCTGGCCCTTCCTACATCCAGGACATGGTTAAACCGTACACCCCAGCGCGTGCACTGCGTTCTGCATCAGCCAAACGACTCGCTGCGCCCTCGCTGTGAGGGGGACCCAAGTTCCCATCGGCAAAAACACGTGGGTTTGCTGTCCTGGCTCCAGGATGGTGGAATGAGCTCCCCATTGACATCAGGACGGCAGATAGCTTGCACATCTTCCGGCTTAAACTGAAAACTCATCTCTTTCGACTCCACTTCGAGCGTTAGAACTATTAACGAAGCACTTTTATACTAATAAAGGACTGGCTTACCTAAAGCCAGTTGAGTAGCACTTGAAATGTTTGGCTCTATGAAACCTGATGTACTTATATGATTCTGTTTTCTTCAAGGTTGTGTCTTCCTGGTCGAATGTACTTATTGTAAGTCGCTTTGGACAAAAGCGTCAGCTAAATGCAATGTAATGTAAATAAATTCACTAATTAATGAAACCAGTTCAATACGCATTATTCTTATTCTTATCATTCTTTATGAGCACAGAAATAGTCTTAAAATCAGACCTGTTTTTTAAATGAAATCTGACGGCAGGCAGTTAGCTCTGATCACCTATGATAAATGCACCACACCTAATCGCTGGCCATTCAGCCACAGAGCTCCCTCTATACAAATCAAACTGTAGATGGTGTGAAAGCACCTATTGTTTTAAATAATTGTCGGAATGTGACCTTTGAGCCTTCTGAATTACCGTGGGACAGCACATTCTAAACTAAAATGTTCAATCAATAAAGTAACATATCTAACCTTATCTTATCTTATCTTAATAATATCTTCATATTAATAATAATAAATCATACAGTATGTGTCCGAAAGGGAGCAGGAGGAAGCAAACACAAAAATATACAAAAAATATACTGCATATTAAAGCAAACGATTGTACAGGTAAAAGTATGAGCATAACAAATAAAGAAGTGTAATGTAAACATTTACATTATTATTATGGTTATTTAATATATAAAGACTATATATTATTGAATTACAAGATTAGATATACTTTAGTTGATCTAAAATATTGATGTGTTCAAATGCTCTTCAAAACACAACTGCAAGTCCATGAAACTTGTCTTTCTGTATTTGTGAATGAAGCGCCATCTCCTGGTTAAAACCTGAAATTGAAAATCTGGCAACGCCCTCTTGGAAAATAGTGGGAGGGCTTAACATTCCTCGATACTGGTCTTAGGCAGGTCGTAGGCAGGAAGCTGTAAGCTGGAGTCTGAAATTAGGTGCTACATCTGTAAACTCTTCAAAAATCACCAGTGTGGTCACTGCTGATGTATTTAATGTCGTAGAACAAAACGTGATCTGTCTCTTCAATTTGTGTCAAACACAGATCTTATATTTCCAGATATTTTCCAAAACCCTATGGAGAAATCCCATTGCTTTTTGTCGAAGGAACCAGCAGTGGTAAAAATGCTAACTTACTTCCGGGTTTTAGGACGCATCACTGCGGTTCTCTATTAACACAAGGTGGACCCAGTCCAATGTATCAAGTGAAATGCCTATACCCAGCTTAACACAAGGTGGACTCAGTCCAATGTAAACCAGATAAAGGCTAGTACCTACCCAGAGGTATTAACACAAGATGGACCCAGTCCAGTGTAAACCAGATAACATCTAGTGCCTCCCCAGAAGGTCTTAAAGGTCCCATGTCATGGCCATTTCCACTGATCATAATTCCATTATTGAGGTATACTAAAATAGATTTATACTGTGCAATTTTCCAAACTCACATTGGTTTCGCATACAGCATCTCTGTAAAGTATGTGTATTCAGCAGCATTCACTCTCTCCACTAAACGGCTCGTTGCAGCTCTTGCCCCCCCTCCCTGTGAGCCCAGTGTGCTCTGATTGGTCAGCTCGGCCACTCTGTTCTGATTAGTCAACCACCAGAGAGGCTCCGGCCATGTCTAACACAGAGCATTTTTCGTCTCTGAGCGGAACATCAGTATTACAATGGCGTCGCTACAGCCATATATGTTTGAACCGGAGTCTGATCCTGAAAGTGAGACAGACCAACGTAATAGACCTGACCCACCGTTCCAAACTAGACTAGAGCAGACGGTTTCACAGTGGCAAGTTTTTATTTAGTATCGCTCTTACATTTCAGATGTCATCATTTATCTACATCACAGTAACACATTTGTCCGCTAACTAACCGAACTGTATCTACAACTGTTGTTATTTAGGTGCACTTGTGGAAACTGCGCCATGATGCCTACCGAAGTGGAAAACGTCTGCTGCAAGGAAATTAGAAAGGTAGCATAGCTGACAGTTACAACATTATGTAGCCAGCTAGCTGAAAACACCACCAGTAGCACACAACATTATATGCCAAGATATACACCATACATATTTGTCAAGTCAATAGACTATTAGATGCACTTGTATTACTTCCTTAGTAATTCAATGTTTATTTTGTAAACCTTGCCATAGTTGGTTTAATTGCTAAACGTGTTATGTAACAAATATCTTACCTTCCTATAGGTTGTAACACGAATGAAGCAAGTCCCAGCACCTATTATGTGCATGGTACAGCACCCATGACTAGAGCCAAACTGTCTGAATCCATACACCCTGCAGCAGACCCGGCGCCAGAACAAATCTAAAGGGAGGGCATATGATTTTCATGGGAGGGCACAAAAAACCGTCACGTGCTGCGGGCCTGCGGCACAATATATATCAAACAGCAAGGCCAACAGCATTGCGTAAAGACGCACACTTATTGCAAACATACACAAATAAAGGGCAACATAGCAACCACTTTGAAACATTGTGTGCGTGGCAGCACAGACACTGGTAAATCACGAGCAAGGCACACTGGTTACGGATGGCAGCTTCCTCATCGCTGCACTCGGACAGAAATAGTAGAGACGGAGACGATGAACTGTTTAGCCCGCCTTGGGCATGGTTTATGTTCCTATGCACTGCCTGACTCGGACATGCTGTGGAGTGAATCGTGGTCACCTCTGAGAGGGAGTTGGTTGACAGCTAAAAAAGCTATAATATCAACGACAGCTGACACGTAATAACGGCTCCGTGCCAGCTGATCTGCACCAAAGTTCTAATTTCCTTATTTGTTTCCTCGCGTATATGTCTCTCTCTCCACAAACTCTCACATGAAATGTGTTCTTTTGATGCGGCATGTCTTAGCAGTCCTTTATCAGTCTGTAATGCGTGTTTCCAGTCGCAAAAACCTTTGACAGTAAAAGCCGCATCAGATGAAGACGTATTTACTTTAAACTGTCTACAAGGGAATCAAAAGGCTGCGTCTGCTTTTAACGAATCTTCAAGCCATGGTCTGTTGTTGTACCATGCAGTGGCTAAAGTGCGCTTCTTTCCTGAAAACAATCTCCCTGGATAACGATCCAGTTTCACCTGGTTGGGTTTATTAACCCCAAGATCATCGCTAACTCAGTCCCGGGGTTTGCAGAGGTCAAGCTTGTGACAATTAAGGCGTGCTGCTGCAACGGCAGGTGCAGAGTCGCCAGCAGCACCATCGGCTGCAGTTCTTTCATCGCTATTTCGTTTTAATAAATCCTTAGACCTTTTAAGCCAATTTTTTATGTCCATTTTGTAATTCAAACAGAAATGGGAGTCTACAGAATGCACAATAAACAAATCCAGAATAGGCGGCAGAGTCTGACGGGGACGAATCCCAAATCACAACAGACACATGCATTTATTTGACGTAGCCTGCAATTTATTTTGTTTGTTCTGACATCACATATATCGTAGCATAAAAGTTCACAGTTTATTTATAATTTAAAAAAATAAAATATATATATTTTTTAATTTTTATAAATAATAAAAAACGTGTTTATTGGGGGAGGGCAGGAATGTCAAATGGGAGGGCCTGGCCCTCCCTGGCCCTCCCACGGTGCCGGGCATGCCCTGCAGAACCTCCATAATATTTATAGATTTTTATTATGGACCTATGAGGCGTAGAATGGAAGAAGAGTAAGTTATTTTTACCTGTAATAAACTACTACTGTGTTTGATCATCAAATCATGGTTTGATATGAATGATATGTTATAGGAGCAAATAATTCAGGGAAGAAAGGATACTAAGTATTTCCATCAAACTTTATTTTTAGAAATGTACAAAATGTGTAAATATACATATATACTGTATCCATTCCTCCCCTTATAGGAGTTTTCGACATCTTGCCTATCACGGCTTTGTAAGCTGGTGCTGGGGATATTTAGGACGAGGCATCAGAGTGGTCATCCCGTCATGTGTTGTCCGCCGGATACGCCAGGAGTTTCCTGATCTGGCTGGACGGTATGTTGGCTTCCGACTTCCCCTTGACTAAAACGGGAGACATGGCGGGCAACCACTTCCTCCTTTGAGGGCCTGTCAAATTGAGTGGACAGGTCCTTTGGGATGGGGATTGTGTTCATCTCCTCCAAAAAGGGTATTGGGTCCTCAAAGACTTCCTCAAACACAAGCCTCGTCAGCTCACCCACGTACACTGAAAAATATAGCATTCATATAATAATTTATTATTTTAATTAACTTATTTTATTTCATGTAACACTTTCATTGTACATATAATGCAGTGTGGCTATAATCATTTAAAATGTATGTTATGTTTGTAATAAAAACATATATATTTCACAACTTACTGTATGTAGGGTCCTTCTTTACAGGCTTAGCAGTACATTCTCCCCTCTTTGATTTTGGATAGGCCACTTTGAAGACATGTTGTCCTGCAGCTGTTGTTGCTTGCTCACGGTCAGCATTCTCATTGTGATGCATGGCTGCTTGACACAACCTATAGCAGTGGTTCCCAAACGGTGTGCCGTGAGGCAAGTCCGGGTGTGCCGTGGGATTTTGTGACAACCATACGTTATTATTGCAATATACAACTACACAAAAATAATTATTTTTTTAATTTACTACATCAGTACTTTGTAGGTTTATATGTACGTAATCTGCGCGACTTGTGCGTCCACATCTCCACGTGCAGTGCTGCATAAACATGGCTGAGTCAGCGATAACTTTCGAGGGGTGGAGGTATGCCCATTATTTTGAGTTCGTCCGAAGAATAGACAGGAATGTGACGGTGAGGTGCAAACTGTGTCCAGGCCAGAAGCTGTTATCCACTGCTGTAAACACCACGTCAAACCTCAACAAACACCTGCAAAGAACACATGCTAAGGTGAAGCTACCGCACACGCTATTTGTTATTTGTTTATATCACGTAGTCTGTTCTTCTTCTCTGTCTTCCGGTTGTTGCCTGTTTTGAATGACAAATACACACTACCGCCGCCTGCTGGTAAGGAAAGTTATTGCCACTCACGCATGCGCAGTTCGTACGTGCTCGGCGAGTAAAGTAACGAGTTACTTTATGTAGATAGTAACGAAGTAGTGTAATATATTACTTTTTTTAAAGTAATATGTAATATATTACATTTTTTTAGTAACGACCCCATCTCTGGAGTTGGCGTTCTCTACTCTGATTTACATGAAGAACAACAGGAGGTCACGGCTCTCTGTTGAACAGGACTTGTGAGTGGCCCTCTCCTCAGTGCCACCAAGGATTAAAAAATTCTGCGCGCCCCGACAGGCACATGTATCTCACTAATTTGTAAGTCGGCAAAAATATTTAGCACATGTTTCAATGCTGATTGCTGAAATGTTACATTTATAATTTGTAGTTCAGGACCATGGACAATGCAGCTTCCTTGCATTGACAGTTCTCTGTGCTGAATTTCTGCTGAGTTTCCTTTGCCTCATTTTTAATTGTGTGACCTGTCTGGTTTAAATGAGTGTGTTGCTGCTTTGATGAAGCCTAATTTGATAAAGTTTCAAATTAATTTCTGAAATATTTCGTTAATAAATATTTCATGAGTAATATAGTTGTCTTTGTCACATTTTATTTGGCATTAGTAAATAATTATGCACATTTACAGATATTTTACATGATATGAGTGATAACACGTGTTATAAGGGCTATTTTGCACAATTGGTGTGCCTTGGGCACAACAAGTTTGGGAACCACTGACCTATAGAATAGCAAAATAAAATTAGACTTTGTGTTATGACAGAATAAAACCCTCATGCCACTAAACAGTGACTGTGTTATATAAAAAAAGATGCTACAGAATAAATTATACAGTGTAATACCTGCAAAACATTCCCATAAAGGGGAAAACCAAATTTTCGGGGGCAAAATGCAGAATTAAGTTGTGGAAGGACTGGGCAAACATGTGCTGGTGAGGAGCAACAACCGCACCACGGTGGCGTACATGGACAGGCGGGCGGAGTCCGTGAAGCAGATCTGGACCCAGTTCGGAGAGCGGAGGTGGACCCTTGGAGGTGGACGCGTTTGCACACTAGCCATGGCCAAGAAAGCTGTTTTACGCCTTTCCACAGCTGCGCCTCATTCTCCCCCTCCTGTAGAGGGTGAGACGAGAACATCTGTCAGTCATCCTAGTGGCCCCAGACCCCCGCGTGGCGCCGTGGTTCGCGGAGGTGACACAGATGATGGTGGGCCAGCCCTGGGCAATTCCTCAGGTCTGGGGGGCTGGTGCAATAGGGGCGTTACCCTCTCTGGGCCAACCTCTCCAGGCTTGGCTCCTGAGAGGGACAGGCTGAGACAGGGGGGACTGTCTGATAGGGTTATTCAGACTATCCAGGAAGCAAGAGCAGGATCCACCACAGCCTTTTACAGGACGAAGTGGTTGGGATTCCAGCGATGGTCTGAAGAGGGAAGTCTAGAGCCCTTATCTTGTACGCAGGGCTCTATTCTGTCCTACTTACAGTTACTCCTGGACAGGGGGCTTACCTATTCCACAGTTAAATCCCTTGCCATGAGGGATTTGGCGGCAGGTCAGCCTTTTGTCAGCCGCTTATGTCACGGTTTTTGTAGGGGGTCAGGAGGCAGCGCCCAGTAGTGCACGCCTCCGCCCCGCAATGGGACCTGCCGTTGGTGCTCGAGGCTCTGGTCACAGAACCATTTGAGTCTCTGGAGCTCTCCTCCCTGAAGGCGCTGTCACTAAAAACAGCGTTGCTGCTGGCCCTGACTTCAGTCCAGAAAGTTTGTTTGCTGTTTTCCTTTTTGATGTTTCACCTTGCCTCCTCCCAGCAGCTCTCTTATTGTTATTTATACCTGCTTCCCTCTTTTGAACTGCATTTGGGTTTTACCCTACTTGCCCAACCTGTGAAAATAAGTTTTGTTTCTTCATGCTGGCAGGGATTTGCTTCTCCTAATATGTGTGACATTATCGGAGATGGCATGTCTGCGAGTCGCCGATACAAGCGTAAATGCATGAGGGTGAGTTTATTTAAAATCATAATCCTAAACTAAAAGAAGTGGGATTGTTTGGTAACTTTCTATATCTTATCTTGTTAGAATCATGGCTAGCAGTAAGCTAGCAGTTTAACGGTTGTTGATTTGTAACAGCAGCGCTGGGAAAGCCTGTTTCAGTGTTCTTAAATCAGGATATATACCTTGAGCAAACTCTAACAGCCAGGATGTAAATGTGAATGTACTCTGATTTATCAGACCAATTTTGTGCTTCTATTATCAAGACTCAAGGTCCAAAACCCAGCTAGTGGCTGCGGGAAGATGAACTGCCTATTACAATGCTTACAGCTTTATCAATAGAGGGTCAAATGTCAAGCTTGTCCTCAGGTAGGGTTACAGATACTGGCACGAGGTCATCAAAATCAAAGGGATGAATCTTTGTGTCCCGAGGACAGTGTGATGTGAAAGTAGATGCAGTATCCACAGTCTCCAGCTGTTCATACTTCACAAAAAGGGGGATAACGGGACACATTTTCTCAGTCTCTCCTGGAATACACTCAGTGTTGTGCTCGTTTGTACGAAATCTGCGTACAAATAGTCATGTAATCTTACTAACGCAAAAATAAAGAAAGGTAATATTCATCATCAATTAAGAATCATAATCATTCTTTATATCAAAGATGCTAAATGCTTAGATTATTTGCAGTAGTTTGTGACGCATGTTGGTGCTTCAAGATCAGTGGTTCTTAGTATGGGTTAGGGTTAGGGTTAGGGTTAGGGTTATGGGTGATTGTTGGACTATTATTTCAGGTGAGTCAATGACTTTGATGGCCATCAGTGGCTAGATGAGGGCCATCTGAAGAAGCAGCTCCTCCTGCATTTGAAAATTCAACAAATATGCTTATGAAAGTGTCTACTTGGTAATACAAAAATAACAAATAAACACACAGATTGTATTTCAAACATAATAATTAGACAAATCTATCTCTCTGAATTGTGATGTTGGGAATATTAGTGGGAATAATTACTAGTACTAAGAAACAGTATTTTATTCCCTTTTCTGGTCAGGAACTTTAGTCTTATCCTGTATTTTTTAGCAGACAAGTTGAAAGGAATTCCTCTGCTGCTCAGTTGCAGGCTTTATCAACTATGTACCCTCACCCAATATGAGCCCTTGTGGACCCTTACATGCAGGCTAATCCTCCAATAGTCTGCTTGCATCTATACACAGGCCTCTGACAGATCGCTGCCCTCACTTTTGCCTCCTTGTAGATTCATCATCCCGCATTGATTTCAGTGTTTCAAGGAAATCCTCTTTGTAGTGTGCTCCACATCCTTCATCCACTCACCCCTACTCACTTCTACTTAGTTTGCGCGTTCGTGGAGGGTCTGCCACATTAAGTGCTGATCCAAACCAACGAGTGGGGAGAGGGAGAGTGCTATCAAGCCCTCCAACTTCAAGTCTGCATTGACCCTGACCTCACCCGCTGCTCTACCTGAACGAACCAACACTGTTTGTGTTCTTTCTACAATGACTTTTTGTTCATGTTTTTGTGGGGGGCAAAGATATCTCATAAGTTGTTTTCAAGTTGCCATTAAGTTTATCTTTCTAGTGTTTTTCCTTTTGTTTTGGTAATTTAACCAACTTATCATTAGCCCCTCTGTTAACCAGGTTTTAGCACCACCCTTGAACCTTTTTAGTTTACCTTCTACATTTTAACATTTGGCAATCTTTGACAACAGCCCAACTCCCACATGTTGCTATCTCTTGTTCTATTAACAATCACAACATTCAGGACTTGAGTAGCTATTTGGAATATGTTATGCAACCTAGTTATATAGCAATCGTATATAATTAATTAACTGGTTATTTATAGTCTCTCTGGTTCTAGCATAACAAAGACAACATATTTAATAAAATGACCAGCAAGTAACATATAAACCCAAATGCAATGATTTACTTTTTACTTTTATATTCTCTATCAAATAGCACAACTTCGTATCTGCACGTTGCCGACAAGGGTAGCCGGTAATTAAAAAAACTAATTTCATAAAACACAAAAAAACAAACAAATACATATAACAAAAGACATAAAGATATTTAAGGTTCAACTCAGTTCCTGATTCAGATCATCTTCAGTTTGGTCTCCTGTGACTGAAAACAGCAAGAGGCAAAGTCGTAGAAAACAACAGTAGTTAAAGATATCTTATCATGCTATTGTTATGCATATTATGGGTCTCAGATATATAAAAAAATATAAAAAACTATGATGTGTTTTGCTCAAAATTGCCAATTGCCATATTAAAACATCAGCTTCAATTCACGATATGAAGAAGGCAGTCTCTGCATAGCATACAGGCTAATGGAGATGCAGTTATTTCCAGCATTCTTTATTTACCATTCATTCAAGTATGTTATGCCTTTTATCTGCTAATATACAGGAGGAAGAGTGATACACTGTCTGTCTAGTTGGCTTACATAACAGTTAAAGTTTACAGCCTAAACAACATGGAGCATTTTTTCCCCTTTTATTCATTTTTATGTCAATTTGCACATTTCATGGTGACGCTCAGCCTCTCCCCTTAACTCCTAACAGTCATCATCATGTCAACCACAACACAGAGAAATACTGA